GAGAATTCTGGGAGTTGAAGTCCACAAGTCTTAAAGTTGCCAAGTTTGGGGACCCCTGCTCTAGAGCTATTTCTCCAATTTTAGGCTTCCAGTAGAATCACAGAGGTCCATGCAACAAGTTTGTTGGGTTTGTAGACATCCCATTTGGCCTTTGGCAATGGAAAGATGCTAGCCTTAGAATGAGCCATTGCTTGGATTGAGCAAAGCAATTTATTAGGCCCTTGGGGACTAGTCCTTTCTCCTTTTACACTGAGAACAAGGTTAGCAGGGTAGAGACCTCAGGTTAATTTAATTACTGAAAGAGCCCTGTCTAAAACAATGGAAGGGAGGAATCTTATCTGTTACACAAGTTCAGGAGCCTACAAGCATGGAGAGATGTCTAAATACTATTCAGATAGCATAAATCAAGCCAGATCTGGTGCTGTTTTGGTCATATAATTCCCTAACCAGCAAGACATAAATACTAAGTCAATGTGACCTGATTTTGTGACCACTCAGATTCCACATTTTTGTAATTGTGAATCGTTTACTGTTTTTCCTTTCCATTTTCTTAATCAGTGTCCATTCTGGAGGTCAATAACCTTTATTTATATGCTAGTATCGGTGTGTGTGTAAGCAATGAAATAGTATTTGGGGAGTAGAGTTAAGTGCCTTTAAATTTGAGAATTATTCCCAGAACCTAAAGTATGGTGGCATATGAGAACTCAGATCTAATTGTCTTTGATAAAGGGTTGAGTTGAAGAAAGTCAACAGGACAATCAGTGCAACTGTCCTAACTTACCTCTTGTGGCTGCTTTAAAAATGTATGATTAGAAATCCAGCTATGGTTCTTGGATGTACCGTACATATGCATATATTTATATATTTTGTCAACTTTATATCCCACTTTACTTAAATCATCCACAGCAGACACTGCCAATCTCAAGCTTTCCAAAGGATGGTGTTTCCATTTCTATAATTTCTACACAACACAGATAGCAATTATGTGAGCTGTACTTTTGGAGGGTATCCATTGCTAATGGCTATTGTGCTGAGAAAGTCAAAATTATCTGTGTGCTGTAGCAGTGCTGGTCAAAGATAAAATAGGCCCCATTCAACCCAACCATATTTGGTTAAATGAATTGGGGTGGCTTTTAAATATACAGCAGAGCTGGGCTTGATATATGCCACATTATTGCCCTGTTTGTACAGCAGTGTGTATATACATTATGACAAGCTTTTGGCTACCAGACTCAAGTACAACTTCTGCTTTCCCCCCTTATCTGTACTATATAGATAGTACTTCTTCTCATATATATGCAACAAGCAGCTGTATTTGTGTTCTCAGCTTTGTTGACCCAGTTGTAAACAGTATGATTGATGCTGCTTGTGATAGTGTCTCAACAGATGGCACTTGTGGTGTGTGTTGCAGGCACAACCAACTTCCCCCTTGCATTGAAGTGGAACATACTTCTTGTTTCAGATTAAGTTATTGAATTAGGGTAGTTTAGATTGCTGTGGTCTTTGAAGCTGCATATGGCCTCTTACTGGTATCATAATGACTTAGACATACTTTTTCAGGGCAGTAAAACTGTCTTTGGGCTATAATATGTCAGTCTGGGAATCTTCTCAACAGTATACAAAAAACACTGCCTGCTCAGGAAAATCCAGAATGCAAGAAGAAGGTTTACGGTTGTCGTGATCTCTTGTTTTCTTTATGAAGGGATGTTTTATATGGAGGTGCATTTTGCTACATCAGCCGTGACCTGCAATTTGAACAGCTCAAGTCTTTGGAGAGAACCAAATCTTTTTTACAGAGCTGCAGGATTATTTGGTCCGATTTATAGAAGTCTTTGTTTCCATTCCATGTTGTGTCTTCCACATTGTTCGCCTGCAGCTTTTAAAACTGCCACTTTTATAGCTCATTTGAGTGTCTGGCTATGAGAGAACATTCAACAGCTCTTGAGTTAAATAGGGCTAGTAGGTGTTTAGAAGGTTGGAAAGAGGAGTCGGTCGGAAAGCAAAACTTAGCGAGCAATAGATTGAAACCCAGAAGATGGCTTCTTGGGTGAAAAACCTGGGATGATTGGATCAAGAGAAGAGAGAGGTCACTTGAGGGAAACTTCATTTTTTAGTCATACTGTATTACTGACACCCTATGAATGACACACCCACCCAAAACTCTCTCTTTTAATATATGGGAGAGTCAGTGAAGAACCTGAAACTCTCTTCTCCGTAGGAATTTTTTGAGCAAGGTCACTCTAGGTCAGGGGTCCCCACGCCCTAGTGGATGGACTGACAATGGGCCACGGCATGCCAGAAACGGGCCGTGCAAACCAGGCCCAACCACAGGATGCAGGCAGCACACCATGGCCCCTCTGGGGCACAGAAAAACATCTCTCCACGGAACCGGTCCCTGGTGCCCAAAAGATTGGGGGCCACTGCTCTAGGTGGTATAGGAAAGCAGCCACTTATATATAAATAATATATATTATTATATATAAATATATAATAATATACAATAAAAGAACTACTTGTGAAGATGTCTATGGAGAATCTCAGTCATCCAGATCATGGTTGTCACAAAGGTGCTTTTCAAAAGACAACTGGATTTTCTTGGGTTTTTTCCCCCTTAAAAACATTTTAGCTTCTCATTCAAGAAGCTGAACTGAAGAAGCTTCTTGGATTAGAAGTGAAATATTTTCAAGGAAAAAAAACCCAAGAAAGTCCAATTGCCTTTTGAAAAGCACCTTTGGGATAGTTGTGAAGATGGCATAACCTGCTGAAATGGCTAAATTGATTTGTTCAATTAGGGAAAAGATAGTATTTACGTTTATCAGTCACTGGAAAACCCTTGTGGACATTTTATGTCAAAAAGAAAAAAATATGAATTTGTGATGTTTGGTTTTGTTGATTAGTTAAGATAGATTATAGAAAAAAGAGTCATGATGAAACTTTAGATAACTGCTGTGGAGAAATTCAAAAACCACTACTTTATATCTCTCTTTACATATTTTTAATTTTTTAAATACTTTTGGCATGTTTTGCTTTTTCTTTTCTTCTTTTTTGTTCTATTTTGGTTTGTTTTAGTTCTTACTTTGTTAAACATTTCCATAAAAATACATCACAGAGAGAGACGGAGGGAGATGATTTACAGTTAAAAAACAATCTCAGTGAATTAATTTGACTGGCTCAGTCTAAAAGTGATTATATAAAATATAAAAACAAGCTCACCTTTGGGGCATTCTTATTGACATCTTAAGTTTTGAGAAACCAATTTTATACTTGCACAATGGTTTTTATCTTTGAGCACTATATACATAACAACTATAATTTCTGGTTTGCTGAGGATGTGTTTGGTGTTTGGTGAGGTCATATAGTTTCCTTTTCTATATTGGACAAGCCAAACATTTCAACCGATACATAGACTGGACACAGATTGTGTAGAGCTCTTTGGCTAACATCGCCTTGATTTTCTTCCATTGGCTTTAACTTACGTGCTGTAGAAAAACCTCAACTCTTTTAAATATTTTTCCACCAATGATAATATATATCTACACTTGCCAAAACTGACCTAAAACGACTTGACCTTTGTTAGGGAATAAAGTGTACTTTGTTATCCAATCCTTTTTATGCACATGTGTTCTATCATACTCCAAAGAACTTTTAAAATAAAAATGTGATAATGTGAATTTTTCCCATTGTCCTGGTTCTGGAGAAATTGAAGAAACTTTAGTGTTTCCCAGTTTCCGTTGCAAAGATGTTATTGATTAAATACTGTACCTGGATGCATGTCTTAAAAAAAATCAGTCAGGAAAAGGAAGCTAGATTACTTCTATTCAAAGAATTAAACAAGCTAGTTTTTGATAAATATTCTGGAGCTACCTGAGGCACCTCACACAGGGAATGGCAGTCTTTTAAAATAAAGAAAAATACTCACAAAATATTTAGAATGGAGTAACATACATAAATGGCATCAGTTTATAGTCTGTAAGTAAATATGCTTCACAGTTGTATTCCATGTAATAATCTCGGTTGGAAGAAGGTTTAGTGCAGGGGTGTCAAACTTAGTGTTTAGATCTGGCCCACAAGGTTGCTCTGGAAATTGCGAAGGATCAGCCCACCATGTCTCTGCCAGTAAAAATGGTGCTTGGAAGGGCCACACAGAGCCCTTCTGAGCTCCGTTTTCGGCTGTGATGGCCTGCAACCCTCTGCCAGCAAAAACTGAGCTTGGAGGGGGGGCACACACAGCCTTCCTGATCTGTGTTTTCACTGGCAGAGCGTTCAGGTCACCACAGACACCCCCCACATGAATGACATCAAGCTGCCCCCCCGCCCCCCCCCCAAGGTCAAACAGAACCCTGATGCAGCCCTCAATGAAATCAAGTTTGACACCCCTGGTTTAGTGCCATTACTGAGGAAAAATGTTTTGATCATATTCAACCAGATACTTGTGTTAAATCAGATTGTTGGAAATAAACTGATGTTCATTTCCATTTTTGCTTTGGATACAAAGGCTTGATCTAGCCTTTGTTTCTTGGTGGAATAGCAGAGCTAAAAGAGGGAAAAAACCACTGAGATAATCAGAATTAGCCATTATGTGAACACAGGGAGAACTCAGACTAGTCCTGTGTCTATTCCAAACAAATACTTTCCTCAACATCATGGACAGCAGAAGAGAACACAGGTAGTAGCAGGTGATCCATGGAAAGGATAGAATCCTTGAGTAACCTACAACCCTGTTGGTTCAAAATGATGACCCATTTTAGAAATTTACTCTTCTTACTAACTTTCAGAGGAATGCAAATGGAGGGAAGAAAATGTTTTGGATGATTTGGTCTTCCTAATATAGCAATAGCACTTCGACTTATATACGCCTTTACAGCCCTCTCTAAGCGGTTTACAGAGACAGCATATTGCCCCAACGATCTGGATTCTCATTTTACTGACCTCGGAAGGATGGAAGGTTGAGTCAACCTTGAGCCGGTGAGAATTGAACTGCTGGCAGTCGGCAGAATTAGCCTGCAATATGGCTTTCCAACCACTGCACCACCACTGATACTTCCTGCATGGATAATGAGGGCACTTGAAGAAGGCTACTCTCTTATAGTTTTCAGGAACCATCTCAAACTTCAACATAAACCCAATCAAGTTCACAGGGTGTCAGTTGCCATCTCCCTTTTGAATATCATAAATTCTTATCCTGATTTCATAAATACTTTTTGGTGTGTCCAGTTTACACATAGCCTCTATATATTGTAATATCTGCTAAATAACTCTAGTATGTAGGGACTCTTCTGGCCTGTTAGGTAGAGACCCAACCACATGCACGTACCCAACGGGGAAAACCGAAATGCCTATCAGTAGATGTGAGTCACTCAACCCGAGTTGTTACAGAGGTGATTATGGAAGAAGAGATGAGAAGTAAAGTTGTGCGTGCAAAAGTTTAAGCTTTTGGTACCCATAGAATCAATGCAGCCAATCCATATTTCACACATGAAACAACATGGAACAATAAATGTGCCAATTATTAATGAAAGCAGGTTTTCATTACTTCTATAGCAAAAATGAAAAAAAAAAATAATTCTGAAGAGATCCAAGTGCCAATTCAGAAGAGGAGGCAGAATTGGACAGGAAGATTGGCTTCATTCCAGACCTAGATTTCCTGCATTTCTAGGCTTCGTATCTCATGTTTCTGTGCCCAAGGGGGCCAAAAAGAGATCCCCCTTCTCTTAGAAAGGGGTACCTTCCAGTTCATCTAGTTCATGTAATATTATATAGCACATTCCTTTGGCTGCCTTTAGACTCGCTCAATTCATATATTTTATTTTTAGATTAACTCTTAACTGCAGAGTATACTGTTGTGAAGGTTTTGTGTAAAGGTTCCCATTCTCATTTTTATACATACATACATACATACATACATACATACATACATACATACATA